AGGTACCTGCGAAGATACTCCGACGCTCAAGTCAGATGTGAGTTATGGAGCCTCAGCTCTCAAGAAAGTGATTATATTATGTAGAATATTATCTAGAGTTCCTCTGGCATAAGTAGAACGTAGAGGGAACGTACATGGACTTTGCCCTGTCATTGTATTTATAGGCCAATAAAAATAACCTTACCTAAAAATCTGGTTAGTTACTCATAAATATCTTAACCGCTTATGTCAACACCCAATTTCGTCCGGATTGACTAATAGATTTGTTTTATTAATGAGTGTAAAAAATAAAATAAAAAATAAAAGTAAAAATAAAAATAAATAAAATTAATTAATAAATAAATAAAAGAAAAAAACAAAACAAAACCGTTCGTCCTCTACCGTGCGCTGCTGTTCTCCATATCTTTTTGACGTTCGGCTTCCTCCACCTGCATGCAACCGTTCGTTCTTTATTGAACAATATCACAGACGTTCGACCGCTCGTCCTCAACCGTTCGGCCGTCCCGTCTCATTGACGTTCGGCAACTCTCAAGCTCAACCGTTCGGTCATCCACAAACTTTCCAGCACTCGACCGTTCGGCCATTCGTTTATTTAGGACGTTCGTCCTCAGCCTCAACCGTTCGGTCATCTTCAAGCGTTCGACCGTTCACCCATTCAGGTTTACCGTTCGCTCTTTAATAATTGTCAACCTGATATCTGTTAATGTTTGTTAGCGTTCGGTTTTGGGCGTCCGGTATAGTATGGTTTGATGTCACAGTGTTCGGCGCAATAGTGTTGTATCCAGTTGATTCGGTTTTAACGTTCGGCCTGCATGCTCTCTTAGCGTTCGTCCAAACAGTATTAGACGTTCGTTTTATTTTAATCGTATTTTATTTTTATTTTTATTTGTTTTAATAAAATATATATATATAAAAAGAGGGGCCCATGCGTCTCAATTATTCCCTAATTATTCCTACAATCTTCCACCAACCCAATAATTTCTGCATCCTCCAACCGACACTCCTCATTCTCCAATCAAGTCTGCCGACACTTATCTCTTTCTGTCAATTTAAGCCCAGGAGAATCACCCCCAGAGGCAGGGATCTCCGTCCCGCACTCACCCTTCTCTCTGCACATCATCACAATCATCATCCACACGCCCACTGCTACTAGGCACTGACCCATCTCTGCTTATCACCCCATCTTCATCCTTACCTACGACCATCATCATTCACGAACGAGCCAACATCCACCAATCTTCATCAAACCATCATCTTCATCCCTTTCCTTTTCATTCTTCATCTCCAACACCTCTATCCTCCGTGTTGTTTCATCACCTTTACATCCTTTTGTTTCATCCATCAAGCAACCAATCGAAAACCATTATTTCTTGAACCTGCAACCAAAGAGCATCACATGCATCTCACCAATAACCCGTAACCATCCCAACCACACTTCCTGTTCACTCCAAGTTCCCCATCTCAACACCCGGTTTACACACAAAACTCCATTATCCATTCATGAACATGGCTCAGTTCAACATCTTTATCCTACAGCCATCACATACAACCACATACTTCTTCATTTTCAGAAATTCAACTCAGACCGAAACCCATTTTCCTCCGGGTTTATCACGCATATAATTCATACATCAATTAAACACAGAAGGAAACCCCAATTATTTTCTCGGCAGAACCTCTGGTGGTGGCTGTCTCAAGGTGGAAGGCAAAACAGTGTGCCCCAAATCGGAGAGGAAACCCGTTTCAAAGAAAACGAAAAAGGGAGCAGTACAACCGGTTTTAGGAAGCGCCGTCGACTCTAGGCAGCGCTGGCAGCAGGCTCGGTAGTGGCAGGCAACGCGATGATGGTGGGGAGAGCTTGATGGAGAGTGGCGACCCTGGCCGGCGCGGTGGCTGAGCTCGCCCAAGAAGCGATTCATAAAGGAGAAGGGGAAGAGCTCCGGTGACGGCCGACGATGGTCTTGACGGTGGGCATACTGGTGGCGGTTTGGATGTAGCTAGTGGCGGCCGGTTTTGGCTGAGACAGTGGCGAGTTTGCGTGACTGGGTGGAGGTACCTCTCGTTAGCTGCTTTGGAAGAAAGACCCTAAGTCTTGGTGTTTCAATGAAGAGGGTGAGAATCTTGGAAGTGTTCTGAAGTAAGGAAAAAGGAAAAAGGCCTTGGGCCCAGCTGTGGACTAAATCCTTTTCCCAGAAACGTAAATTTCCATTCACACTCCATTTCGTGCGGGCTTAAGCCCATATGTGCAAAATAAATAAAAAAAAGAAAAAAAAAGGAATTGGGCCTAAACACACTATTTCGGGATACACCCCCAAATTTCATTCTTACACCTGAGCAGAAAGATGAATAAGAAGGATGTTGACCCAAACCAAGGAGCCTCAATTTCACTCAACACCTTTGATTTTCGCCTTTGCACTCTTATTCTTGTCGGTTTGTTTTCTCTCGCTTTATTTTTAAGCTTTTATTTCTCTATTGTTATTATTTGTTCGTCATTAGTTTTTTATCGTATGTATATGATAATTCCACTCCTGAATATTATATCTTATATTTCGTCGGATTTGTTTATAAAAAATAGGTTTAATCCTTTTCGACATCCCTATTTATGTACGAATGTCTCATATGGGTCCTCGTTTTCTAAAGTGTATCAAAATGGTCCTTAATTTTCAAAATTGATATCAATTGAGTCCTTTCCGTTAAGTTGGCTAGACGGCGTTAAAAAAATTGATGAGTGGATGCTGAGATGACGAACGAACGCTCGTCCACAAGCGAACGAACGCTCGTCCACCAGCGAACGAACGCTCGTCCACCAGCGAACGAACGCTCTATCACCAGCGAACGAACGCTCGTCCACCAGCGAACGAACGCTCGTCGACCCCCGAACGAACGGTCGTCCAGTGTGGAACGAACGGTCGTCCAGCAGTAAGAGGTCGACGAGCGTTCGTTCGTTGGTGGACGAGCGTTCATTCATCATCTCAGCATCCACTCATCAATTTTTTAACGCCGTCCAGCCAACTTAACGGAAAGGACTCAATTGATATCAATTTTCAAAATTAAGGACCATTTTGATACACTTTAAAAAACGAGGACCCAATTGAGACATTCGTACATAAATAGGGATGTCGAAAAGGATTAAACCTTATGAAAATAAAGATATGTTTTTTAAGGTTCTTTGAATTTTTGGAAAGATAAATTGGGAAATTCATTCATGTTATTGTATTTAATCTGAACAATGGTTGCTATATTTGAGTATCATATGAATGAAATTTTTTTAAAGTTATTTTAATTAAGGGTTTTGTATTTTGATGAATGCATTTGTGGTTTCGTTAAAATGACTTAGGGGTATCTTGTACAGTGTTTGAANTCTGACAATAGCACCTGCCACCGAGCTATCCTTCCAGTGAGAGCGGGCTTTTCAAAAATATACTTGATGGGATCCATCTTAGATATTAACCAAGTAGAGTGACTTAACATATACTGCCTCAAGCGATGAGTAGCCCATGCCAACGCGCAACAAGTTCGCTCTAATGATGAATATCGTTGTTCACATTCTGTGAACTTCTTGCTTAAATAATATATAACATGCTCTATTTTCCCATCTTCGTCGTGCTGACCTAATACACAACCCATTGATTCGTCCAACACAGTCAAATACAAAAGGAGTGGTCTTCCTGGCTCAGGTGGACGCAACACCGGAGGGTTTTGTAGATATTGCTTAATCTTTTCAAAAGCGGCCTGACAATCCTCATTCCAAACCAAAGCCTGATTCTTACGCAATAACTTGAATATCGGTTCACAAGTGGCGGTTAATTGGGAGATGAATCTAGCAATGTAGTTCAATCTACCCAGGAAACCTCGAACCTCTTTTTCCGTCCTAGGGGCAGGCATTTCTGCTATTGCTCGTACCTTGTCAGGATCTACTTCTATTCCCTTTTGACTAACAATAAAGCCTAGCAATTTTCCAGATTTCACTCCGAACGTGCATTTATCAGGGTTTAACCTGAGTTTAAACTTCCTCAGCCTTTCAAATAATTTTCTCAAGTTGAGAATGTGCTTTTCTTCTGATTCAGACTTAGCAATCATGTCATTCACATACACTTCGATCTCCTTGTGCATCAAATCATGAAAAAGTGTCACCATCGCCCTTTGATATGTTGCCCCAGCATTCTTGAGCCCGAAAGACATCACCTTATAACAAAATGTTCCCCACAATGTGATGAAGGTAGTCTTTTCCATGTCCTCAGGTGCCATCTTGATCTGATTATATCCCAAGAAACCATCCATGAATGAAAATAGTGAAAACTTGGCTGTATTATCGACTAGAGTGTCGATGTGTGGTAGTGGGAAATTGTCTTTTGGACTTGCCCGATTCAAATCACGGTAGTCCACACACATCCGAACTTTACCATCTTTCTTGGGTACTGGTACGATATTTGCCACCCATTGCGGGTATTTTGCCACAGCCAAAAATCCTGCATCAAATTGTCTCTGCACCTCTTCCTTGATTTTCAAAGACATCTCCGGTTTCATTCTTCTTAATTTTTGTTTGACCGGAAGACATTCTGGTAAAAGGGGGAGTTTATGCTGCACGATATCGGTATCCAAGCCAGGCATATCATTGTACGACCAAGCAAAGACGTCCTTAAATTCCTTCAATAGGACTCGCAACCTTTCCCTTACTTCTTCTTTCATGGTAGTGCCGATCTTTACTTCTTTTATCTCGTCTTCCTCTCCCAAGTTAAGTATTTCAATCTCTTCCTGATGGGGTTTTATCTCTTTAGACTCTTGTTCCACTAATCTCAAAAGCTCTGGCGAGGGTTCCAGATCATCTTCCGCATTAATGACAGGGTGCTCCCACTTAGGGATATTGACATTATTATTTTCAAAACATTCATTGTCATATCTGCATTATTTAAGTTTGCGAAAAAGAATAAATAAACAGGAAGAACGATGAAAAAGGCTAAATGATGATAGAAATGAGAACGAACACGATTCAATTATCACACCGAAAATAAAACGTCAACCCGTAAATCATGAATTCTAAAGCTCCGGGTAAAACAACAGGGTTAATTAACATATTACATTTTGTTTGGATTAAACATCACGGGTAAATCCAAAGTTTTCCAATTGTTGAGCTGTGCATCCGGGGGGAGCAAGCCCACACGAAGTTTGAGCTTTCAGATCTAGCTTCCTCTTCCACCATCGCTATATGGCTAGTGTTCACCCATCCCGCACTGCGAAAACTCTCTTTGATACCGCAAATGTGGATTTTCCTCGCCCTAGGTTCCCGTTTCCCCATCCGAGCCAAACTACGCTCCTTCCGTTCCTCAATCAACCTCTTCTTATCCTCCTTGCTGGGCTTGTACCCTAGGCCATACCTGTTTTTGTTCTCAATCACCTCCAATAGGAATGTACATCCTTGTCCATACTTGTCTAAACCATTCTCGTACTTATAACCTTCTTTCAGCATGACCTTGGCCATCATGATAGAGGTGCATGATAAATGTGGGTTCATAGGAAATGACTCAACATAGGTGTTTCCCACAATTTCTAGTGATTGAAAAGCTGTTTTCCAGAGGCCTCCTCGGCTGCCTCTATGTAACGGGTGGAGGATGGCCCACTCACAAGGAGATCCTCCTCTCCAGAAACTATGACCAGCTTATCTCCCATGATATATTTCAGTTTTTTGGGGCAGTGTGGAAGGCACAACTCCTGCAGAATGGATCCATGGGCGACCCAATAGACACTATAGGCTGGGAGGATATCCATGACCTGGAAGGTTACTTGAAAACCACACGGGCCAATTTGGACCGGCAACTCTATTTCTCCCATGACTCCCCTCTTGCTACCGTCAAATGCTCTACAACCATAGAACTTGGCTCATCTGCATTCCGTCAAATGGTAGCCTCTCTAATGTCATCTTGGGCATGACATTCAGGGAGGAGCCGTTGTCTATCAACACGCGTGCTATGCCGTGGTCCAAACATTTTACGGAGACATGGAGAGCCTTGTTATGCCCTCTCCCCTCCTCAGGTATTTCCTCATCGGTAAAGGTGAGGTAATTATTAGCAGTGATGTTGCTGACAATGCCCTCGAATTGGTTCAGGGAAATACCTTGTTCCACATGGGCCTCGCTCAGTATCTTCAATAGTAGTTTTCTATGGGAGGCCGAGTGCATAAGTAACTATAACAGGGAGATCCGGGCAAGCGTACGATTCAATTGTTCCACCACTTTGTACTCACTTTGTTGTATGAATTTCAAGAACTCGCAAGCCTCCTTCTTAGAGATTTCTTTCTTGTCCGCCTTGTCAGGGGTCTCCTTTGCCTGCACCCCTTTCCCTTTTAAATGGTCCTTAGTATTTGCGTAAATTGGTGTTTCATTATTGCTAGCTCCTCTTCTCGTCAAGTTTGGTGGCGTGAAGATTCGACCACTCCTTGTCATTCCGCCGATGCCTGATATATTTTCAACAGTTGGATCCTGGCTAGAGAATTGACTTTCAATGCACTGTCCTTTGTCGACTACACGTGTCCCATACCTCCAAGGGACAACTTTCTCGCTTTTGTAAGGAAAAGGAACTGGTGTATGGATGACAACGGGCGATCTTCCTTGAATTACTGGTGTAGGGGTGGTTCGAGTGAAACGGATTATCAACGGCTCTGGCAAAGTTACATCAGGCTCCATACCAATTTGTGCAAACACCTCATCATCCTTGTCTTCGTAGCATACTTGCATCAAATTCCTATCAAGCAGATCTTGTAGAAACTCTTCGAATTCAACGCATTCCTCTATAGAGTGTTCCGTGCATGGATGGAGTCCACATGCTCTTCCCAAATCATAATCCCCACTTAAAAGACCCAACTTCAATAATTCCTTAAAAATGAATCTTCTGGAACTTCGGATTTCGCTTGCATCCTTTATCAGTCTATGCTCCTTAACCTCAATGGCGTTTGTCGAGGCACTCCCATGCCCGGATAACGGATTAGCATCAATGCTAGGTTTATCTTCTTGAAATTTTAGCCACCTAGCGTCAATTAGGGCCTGCACTTTACGCTTGAAGGCCATACACCTCTCAGTTGAGTGACCCACGCCTTCCCCATGATAACTACACTTGGCGTCGGCATCATAACCCCTAGGGTATGGAGGCTGCATGGGTATCATTGGGCATATAGCAACCAGACCCCTTTTGACGAGGTGAGGTAATAATTCAGTGTAAGTCATAGGGATGGGGGTGAAGTGAACAAGGTTTCTTTCCTGGGTTTTTCCTAGGTAAGTGCCTTGACCTGCATTCGGATTTGGATTTGCACTTGGCACAGTCCTCCAAGCGTTGCTTGTGATGGGTTGTGATTGGTAAAATCCTTGTTGTTGTTGAGGCCGGATTGGATGAGCAAAAGTCGTATTGGCTGCATATGGTGGCTGGCCTAGGTATGGCCTATACTTGTGAATAGGAGCATGACCTCTCCATAGAGGCATTGCCGATGTTGCATGCACATCTCCTTCTTTCTTCTTTCCTGGATTGAAAGAGGGCTTCTTTTTAGAGTTTTCCACCGCAGATGGGCTACTTGTAATCTTCCCATTCCTCACCCCAATTTCTATCCTCTCGCCGATTATGATGACGTCAGCGAAATTGACGGATACATTCCCCACCATATATTCATAAAACGGTGGCTGGAGCGTATTTACAAACATTGCCACCATTTCTCTTTCAAACAAAGGCGGCTCTACTTGTGTGGCCAATTCTCTCCACCATTGGGCATATTCCTTGAAGGTTTCATTGTCTTTCTTCCCCATATTCTGTAATTGCAGACGGTCCGGTGCTACATGTGTGTTGTATATATACCGTTTTACAAAGACGTCGGCCAGATCTGCCCAACAATGGATTCGAGATGGCTCTAAGTGAGTATACCAATTTAATGCTACCCCAACTAGACTATCTTGGAAAACATGGATGAGTAACTGGTCGTCATAGCATACGCAGCCATTTTTCTGCAATACATGGCTAGATGGTTTTTAGGGCATGTATCACCCTTGTACTTCTCGAATTCTGGCGCTTTGAACTTATACGGTATTTTTACTCCAGGAACCAAACTTAGTCTTGCAACATTTCCAAACCCATAATTTTCCATCCCTTCAATAGCCCTCATTTTTTCCTCCAGAATCTCTAGTCTGTTTTTAGCTCCGTTAGTGATGTTGGTTCCCGCATGCGCCGCGGTTTGTGATGCGGCTCTTGCTGAAGAATCGTGGTTAACAATCATATGCGGTACTGTAGTCACTCGTGTTCCTTCAACTGTAATTGCTTCATTCATTTGTGCACTTACCAAGGGAGCTGCCATAGAGATAGGTACCTGAGTAGTGATTGGCGGTACATCAACAGTTGTGGGAATGGGAAACGACGCATGCTCCCCTTCCAAATATTCTCCTACGGGAGGAGTGTATTCCGGGGGTAACCCGTACAACGGGAAAGGAATCGATTGGCGCATAGCATTGAACAACGGTGGATAAAAATGGGCATTCCCGCCAACCAATGTAGACGAAGACTCTCCAATAGCCTTCAGGGATTCAAGGGCGACCAAGATTTGGCCAACCTGGTCTTTCAACTGGCTCATTTCAGCTTTGATGGATTCTTGTGACTCTTCCCAGCTCTCCATAATCCTTGAATTGGCTCGAGTCCTGTAGGGATGTCATGGAAAGTTGGCCGTTTTTTTTTTACTTCGCTATTATTAACTTAAGTTAAATGAAAATGTGTCAGGCAAAAAGGGAAAGAAGAAAAGAAAAAAAAAATGCGATGCATGCTAGTGATAGGTGGAAATCATAAGATCACGACAACGTTAATGATGGAAATTGATACAAGTTGATACCATACAACACATCTCACGTCTTTCATATAGAGAAAATCTAACAAGACATGAATCACTTTCTATCTCGAGCAATGAAGGCTTTCATTTCGCCTATTAGCCTTTTACAATGGTTAATAAAAAGCATTATCTCGTGAGGCGGGTTACAAAAGTGGGTCATGGCTTCGGCGTCCAACACCATCTTGGGGATGTCTTCAATCGCTCCGTTTGCCAACATAGCCAATTGGGAAAAACTTCTCTTCCAATGCTTCACAGCCTCTTCTTGCACTGTGATGCGGTCTTTCATTTGTTTTACCAAGGCATGATGCCTCTCTTCAAACTCCATTGACCTCCACAGTTCCTCTTGCTCCTCAATGTACTCCTCCATTTGTTTTATCATGGTGCGATGCTCTTCTTCTGCTTCTGCTAGCTTCCAACGCTCTTGGTTCATATCTGTCTCAAAAGACAAGGTCATTTCCTTCATCTCGTGCCCCGCCTTTTCTACCTGAACCTGCGCTTCTCTCAATCTCTTCAGAGCCTCTCGCTTATCTCTTTTAACCTCTTCGTAGAGGTGCCTCCATTGTTTTCCCTCTTCTAATGTTGCATTCCTTTCCTTCACTCTCATGGCTAGCTTTTTGCTTGCGGTCGCGAGGTCTTGTTTCAATTAGAATGTATAAACTCTTTCAGCCTTCTGACTTTTGACAATTTCTTCATAGGCCTGTGCTTTTTCTTCTTTATCATTCCTCATATGAACAAAATCGTTGCGTAGAGTTTGTAATTCCTTTTCCAACCTAGCGTTCTTTTCCCTCAGTTCTTCCATCTCTATTTTCAATTGCTTCACCTCTTCGCTTTCTAGTTCTTGGGATCGCCCTTCATTAGCTAGCTGATCAACGATCGGCTTGAAAGGCAATTTGATTTCCTTTACCCTTTCCCAGATCCAGGTGTGATAATTAACTTTGTCGTCCATCACTCCCAATCTTAAATCCTTTTCTGCTCGCATAACGTTTTCCCAAGCACTCCTAACTTTCCTCAACATTTCAGTGCAATGCCCATCCCCATAGTAGATGAAAAATGCCGTGAGATAGTCCAGTGAAGGTGCCCCTTTCATGGGATACCCAAATTGTCTCTGAACCAACAGAGGGTTGTAATTGATACCATAACGGGCCCCTATGAGAGGTACATTGGGAAAGCGGCCACAGTGTTGGATAGGCTGTTTGAGCTCAAGCCAAGGAAGACGCCATTTTATTTTTCCTCCATTCAAACTAGCAAAGAAACGGGCCCACTCACTTCCTTCTTTGTTCGTAAGCCCCCGGCATGACAGATCTTCCGAAGGACGCTGGATATTGACCGTGCCTTTAAAGAAACGTGCAGTCATCCAAACATACAGTGCCGACACACAACAAAGGATTTCTTCCCCTTCCTTTCGTGACAGAAACTCATGGTCCCATAAACCTCAGCAAGGACTACCGTTACAGGATTCTCCGATCTCGTTTTCTCGCCACGAATACATCTATTGCGGTATAATCCACAAGTCTTCTATTCTAGGGAATAAAACAATGCCGTACATGGTGAGAGCTAGCACATCCATAAAGTCTCCCACTCTCCCTTATCAGCCAGATGTTGTAGGTACTATTCCAGATACCCCTGCGTCAGCCCAAGCTCTTGATGCCTTGTTACCAACTTGTCTTCGAGTTCCTGGGGCTGTAGTTTCATTATGGCAGCAATAGTTGCGATAGAGGCGTGATGCTCCAAGTGCTGATACGGTGTAGTACCCTCCAGTGGTAAACCAAGGATATGCTCAAACTCTTCTATAGTCGGTGCTAGCTGGAAGTCTAGGAAGGTGAAGCATCTTAGCGAGGAGTCATAATACTGTGCTAGGGCTGTGATAGCAGGCAACTGTACCTCCACTTCCATTAGGCTCAATAGGTTTCCATATTTTTTCTTGAAAGTTTCTCTTTTTATGGTCGTTAGTTGTTTTCCTAAGCTTATCAGCCCTGTCAGATTCCCCCCATGAATCCTCAGGCGAGGTTTCTTTCTTAACACGGCAGAATCGGTATGTTGTGTAGCATCAGATCTTGTATCAACTTCCATCTTGTAGGATAAAATAAACGCATGTGATTTCCCCTAAAACCAGCATGTCACCAAATGATGTATGAACATGATGCATGATAACATAATGAAGTAAAAACATGACCAACAACACAAATGCATGCGTAACATGAAATGCAAAGTCATTATTTTCGAAAAGAACAAATAGGATGTGGGCAGCAGTACACATTCCTCCCTTCGTGCCCTATCAAATGTTGAAAGACTAAAGTTCTAAGGCAAAATATATGCACTCACAAGGATACTTCCTAATGCTTAAATTAAGGCCACCAGAGCTATGGCTCTTTCACTTGTTTCTCCACAACGTCAGAGTAATCAACTAGATTGGAGACACAAATGAAGAGAACAGACTCTAGCTGGGTTCTCACTATAGCCAACAAGAAGTATGTCCCAAATGACACCGCTACACGACCCCTCTATTTCTAAGTTGCGCTCAGACCCGGGGATATGCCCCCACTCATGATATGCAATATTGGTGTGTGAAGGGAGAATGCAATTTACACCCCAAACCCTCCCGGCAAAACACCAGAAGATTCCCAGGCAGATATAACATGTTTTCTATCCTAGGGTTCAATATAATCAAACAAACACACATACAATTATGCCAATATCAAACAAGGATAAAAAAAGGGGAAGAAAAACACAAAGAAAAACCACATTGAATTCGCACATCTAATTAAATGGCCTAACTCTCTGGCGGTCCCCAATGAGTCGCCATCTGTCGCACCGGAAAAAATCGCGACGGGACAACGATCCGTAAAAAGATATATTTGGAAAAGAGATTTGGGAGTCGCCACCATAGTTTATCTGAAACCTACGGAAAAACCATAAAATGATAAGGCATGGTCAATTAGAACCAGATTCTTGGTTCGGGAGTCGGTTACGTGTAGGGAGTATTAGCACCCTACAACGCCTACCCTAAGGCAGTACCTTTACTAAATGCGCGAATTGGATGTGGTTTTCAAAATGTTTAACTTCCTTAAAAAAAACCTAAAGAAACAAACATATTTTTAGTTTTTTGAGGCCCGACAAGGATTGACCTTGCTCCTACGTATTCCCATTCAGAATGAGAATCAGGGTTACGTAGTTCATTTGAAACTGCTTGAAAATTTTGTTTAAGGATTTGTTGAGAAATTTGTTTGGAAATGATTTTGGATTTTTGGGAAGTGAACCTGACAAGGCCTGGCCTTGCTCCTACGTATCTTCACTTTTGATGGAGAATCAAAGATCACGTAGTTCTGGCAAGGCGATTTTGTTTGTAGTTTGAAAAATAGATGTTTTTTGGGTTTTTGAATATTTTATATGTTTTTGGTATTTTTATTAGTAAAGTGAAAAGTTTTTAGCACAAGGACGAGCGTGCGATCACACATGTGCCTAAACCTTTAAACCATTTTGTGGCATTTTGAAGAAGAGAAAAGGTTTTTAGCACAAGGACGATGCGTGCGATCACACATGTGCCTAAACCTTTAAAACGTATTTTTGGCATTTTTGAAGAAAGAGAAAAGGTTTTTGGCACAAGGACGATGCGTGCGATCACACATGTGCCTAAACCTTTAAAACTATTTTTGGCATTTTTGACGAAAGGAAAAGGTTTTTGGCACAAGGACGATGCGTGCGATCAAATATGTGCCTAAACCTGTAAAACGTATTTTTGGCATTTTGACGAAGAAAAATTTTTAGCAAAGGACGATACGTGCGACACACATGTGCTAAACTTAAAACAGTTTTTGGGTTTATTTAAAAGAGAAAAAGGTTTTTAGCACAAGGACGATGGCGTGCGATCACACTGTGCCTAAACCTTAAAAACGTATTTTTGGCATTTTTGACGAAAGAGAAAAGGTTTTTAGCACAAGGACGATTGCTTGCGATCACACATGTGCCTAAACTTTAAAACATATTTTTGATTTTTGAAGAAAGAGAAAAGGTTTTTAGCACAAGGACGATGCGTGCGATCACACATGTGCCTAAACCTTTAAAACATATTTTAATTTTGTACATACACATAAATATTTTAGTATTTCATTATTTTTATGTATTATTAAATAAATATTTAGAATAAATAAAATAAATTAAAAAAACAATAAAGAGAAATAACAATAATAATAAAACAAGAAAACAACAACAACAAAAAAAAATAAAGCAAAAGGAAATAAATAAAACAAAAGCGGGGGACGCCGAGAAAACGAGATGGTTAAACTATTTTTCTTTCTCTTTTTTTTTATAGATTGGGCCTAAACCCAAACCGAAAGGGGTGTGGAAGTGATAACAGGGGTGCCCAGATCAACTTATTTCCGACAGCAAACTGGGCCTTAGCCCAGACGGACAGGGGCGTGAACAGAAGAGCAAAGAGGAACAAAAATAACTTCGTTTGGTTAATTTTTGGGCTTGGTCCAGCATTGGCCCGAAGATGTATGGGGTGCGGAAATGAAAACAGAGGTGTCGCGCAAAAGAGAAAGGGGTTTTTTTCTTAGGCATGCCCAGGCTCGGGGCGGTCTTTTTCTGATCGAGAATCCCCTAGGGGTTCAGCATTCTTCTTCTATTCCTCACCCCTCAGATCCAACACTCTCCCGCTCACCCCCTCAGCTCACACACTCTCTAGAGACCCGAGGTCTCTTCGTCTCTCCGCAGGCTCACCATCGACTCTGTCAGACACGGCCACCGCTGCCTCAGTCGGAACACGCCTTGGCCTTGCCGGCGACAACTCGCGG